TTTGAAAATTAAAAAAGGAAAATTAACGTAGTGCATTGCCCGTAATTTACAGAGCTATGCGCCTGAAAATTTGTTGTTACGTTCTTAGATTTGAAATGATTACTAAATCGGCGAGTATTAACTTGATTGGGTTTTTATTTAAGAATTATTATAATATCAACGTATGTAAACGTTTCAAAACATAGCATTGTTTTATATAGGTAATGTGTTTTGGTTTTTTTTTTCATTTGGCATTCAATCATTTGTATTTGATTTAAGCACGAAATTGAATATTACTGAATGCAAACAAGAAATGAACACGCAGAACGCGCTTGACGATACTTGTACCAGTAAACTCATGAATTATTATGTTACCTAATTTGTTTTCACAATATTAATTCGAAATATTATTTTAAATGGCATAATAATATCAACTTTAATTTTACAAACTATATTTTATAATGATATAGAAAGTAATAATTTAGAATGAAAAATAATGGTGCAATTATATCATATGAATGAGTTATAAAAAGAAACCGCTATCTTACCATTATAGACACAGACAATTGCAATGTTTAGCTTGAAAGAGTCTTAGGTCGGGTGTAATAGGCTTTAACGTACTCTTGCGTGCTGATTTAGCTGTTTAACGAGTATTCCAAGCGAGCCATGACCTTTTGTTATTCTCGACGTAGTACTGGTAGTAACACGCATTGGAAAGCTATTGATTCATGGCGATTTTCACGCTTTCTAAACTCGTTGTCTCACGAAACGCAACAACGAAAAAAGAAAAAAAAATTGTTTGTAGGTCAATATCGTTAAGCCGTGCACTTGCCAACGTGTAGTATCTCAACTGATATATTTACAACTGTTTACTATAATTAACTTTCGACTGAATTTGAACTGAATTTTTTTTCTTTTTTTTTGCATTCTAAATTTCTCTAATCTACGTTCCTTAGTTATCAAGAATAAGATATTGAATATTGAAGAATAGCTTTACTTATGGAAAAGCTAGTTGAGAAATTATTTTTACAAAAATAGCCTCAACGGAAGCAGTCTCATATAAATATTTATGCTTTGCAAAATAAACAATTAAAATATAAGATTCAATCTATCTTGCAACATTACGTTAATTATCTTAGAACACAGTAAATTTAATTAATGTCTTTAAATTAAAATGATTCTTCATTCAAAAATAAATATTGCGATCGAAAGTAATCTTTGACCAGTTTGGTAGATGGAATAAATTGAACGTTGCATAAAAAGATAAAGCGTTTATTTATTTGAACAAGTTTTGATAAACGCAAATAAATTTGTGCATATCTAATGTGTATGGAGCATCTTTGCGAAAACAGTCCTACAAAAAAAAAGTAAAAAACGATAATGGTTTGTGGTAACGAAGTAATTTCTAGTGGATAGCGCGATTTTTCTGAAATTCTAATTGGACGACTCTGAAATATAATCTTATCGACAGGCTAGTACGATAGTAATTCCGCTGGCGAGGAGCTTGCAAGCGGAATTCTCGGACGGTCAACGCCGTCTCTTAAATTTTCATAGCTTTTTAATAAAAAGATCATTCTCTCTTTTCTGCCGAACATGTTAGTTCCACGTCGTCGAGTTTACGACGCCCATGAAAGTCATCTTAAAACCCTAATCTCCCTATAAAATGAAATCTATCCACCGAGATTAAAGCTTGCTTACTTAACATACGAGCAATATATACGTGCGTGCTCGCACATACGTCTCTCTCTCTCTCTCTCTCTTGCTCTCTTTATCTTCAGAGTGCGTGGGTGCAAGGCTCTGTAATTGACGTTGTCGCTATGCCCGTTTAAACTATTAATGTACAGTCAAAAGTAGCTCAAGGCTGAATTTTTGACAAAATAGCGCCCATCCTTAAAGTTAACTATCAGAAGCTGTAATATTGTCTCAGTAGCTCTCGCGCGCCAACTTTAATAAACTAATAGTGATCTCTTCTCTCAAGTAATCCAGTTTTCGTTGAAACGTTTCTCGTGTCTCGCGTATTCTAAGCCTCATTAATGGAATTTTAGGACTAAGTCATTTAATTGCGAGATGAGATAAGTTAATGGCTTGGAAATAATTAGTCGTTGCGAGACGCGATGTGACGACTGACAAGATGGATGTTCGTGGCTTTTTGACTGTCTGCTGTAATCCCGCGGAGATCATGAGGTGAAATATGCTTTTGTTTAATTTACACAATATACCATTTCTACGATAGAAAAGTTGTGGAATTTAATTGTGTGAATCTAATTGAGTTTTACGGTTATTCTGCTAATGCAGGTATTTTTGAAATGATAGCAAAGAATATTATTTACGCAGTGGTATCATTTTAATAAATTTCTCGAATATCGTGCTCAACAAGTTTGAAAGATTTGAAATCCTATTTGAATGTAATTTTAGACCCTTATCGATCGAACCACATTATAACTCTCCCAAGTCAATTACGTTGGGATTTCGACAATCTGAAACTACCATTGATTCGCGAAGCTTGCTTTGATTTTCCAGAAAACCTTATCTATATGCATTTTCAATTTCAGTAATTCGAGCTTTGCAACGTTTCTTGTGGAGCTATGAGATTGGTTTTCCACATTGGACTTCCTACAGCAGAAAGTACTCTTTTTATCATATTCGTAGTATCCTAGCGGGGGAGTTCACTAAAGGTTTAAAAATAGCTCTCCAAAAGATCATAATTACTTTCCAATAATCCCAGGCATCTGTCGCTTTTGGAACTTGATGCATTGTTACGAATCTTAAAAGTGGAAGGCGTCTACGAAAATAGCTGCTGGAGTATGAGCTTTCAGTCCGAGACTCTTATCTCCGCGCAATATCAACTGCAAAATTCAAAAGTATCTGGGGGTATATCCCTTCATAAAGAAGATTAAACCACGGAGGAGGAATTTCTGTCGATAGGCTCACTCAGTCGCGTGCAAAAGGGTGCTCCGTGACCGCGCGAAGTATACATATACATGTGTGTATCTCGCGATCCGATCTAAAAGTAGAATTTTCAGGGCCCCGCGGCTGAACACGAGGAGGAAGAGGGCAGAGAGATCCCGAGGGTGCGCCCACATACAGAGTGCGCGATTCAATGCACTCGCTTTACATATACGTATATAAGCGCCTACGTTATCATGTGCGTCTCCTCTCTCGTTATTCGTTCATTCAACTTGCAATCATCAAGTGCTTCTTTTTATCTTTTTCCCCCTCGACACTCCAGGGACAGAGCTTTTCCGCGGATTTCGCGACGTGCGCTTGTGGGTAGGGTGCGCTTCTTCCATTGTGCGATTATTCTGGTTGTTACGATGTGCATACGCGACGTGCTACTTCGCAACGCTGTAATTAAGCCCTTTTTCGCTTGTTTTTATGATCTCCGCCTAGCGGCTGATGTTCAACGAGTGGATGAAACGGCAGCGAATTACACTCGATCCGACAGACCTTCTTATTTTCGATGAGAAACTGTTTTAATATTTATAATATCAACGCGGAAGTGAATGTGGAAACGAAATTTTCAAGTCCGCAAATATCAACCACAACTAGCTTTAATCCAATTCGTTTGTTTGAAAGCGCACTTAACTATCTGAAATATACCTTCGCGGATGATTCCTATCGATATAAATTTCAAACTCAAGCGTATGTCAAATCGAATTGCTAGGCGATGCTCGTAACTTTCACAAGCAACCAAAACCACTTTTCCTAGATCTATCATCGCGACGCGCGAACGGCTTGTACAGGTGAATGCAGTTTGTATTTAGTCACGTTCGTCGGCCTTACGCTGAGATCGGCAATATACTCGTGGATAAAATCGCTAATGACATTTCCCTGGCAAATTGACGCCTCGTTGAGAATATCAAAGGCGGCTCTTTTTCTGCAAGGTGGACCCTTTGATAATAATGGATGCGGATCACGGCGACAGCCAAGGTTTGAGGCATCGCGGAACGCTTCAACCAATAGCAGCAGTACAAGGGGAGAGCGAGAGAATAATTCATTCGCGTTCGTCCCAATTGTAACGGAAACTCTCAAGTGGCTAGCTTTGGCCGTAAGTTCGTTCAACTGACTGGTTCTCTCTTCGTTTTCTTCTACTAAGCTGGCACTCTTGTTGCTCCTCTTGTTTGCTGCCGCCGCCGCTGCCACCGCAGCAGCAGCAGCAGCCTGTGTGTGTATACGTATCGAAAATACAGCGCGCCGCGCGCGAGAAAGTATCGGCTGCTCGTGACCAACACTGTGCCGCCGCGCGTCGAAGCCGTGCCTTCCTGTTCCTGTCGACGCGCTCGCCGCTTTACATTTATTTATCTGGACGTGTATACGAGCGCCTGCTCGGCTGTTGCTGCTGCTGCTGCTGCTGCTGCTGCTGCTGCTGCTGCTGCTGCTGCTGCTGCTGCTGCTGCTGCTGCTGCTGCTGCTGCTGCTGCTGCTGCTGCTGCTGCTGCTGCTGCTGCTGCTGCTGCTGCTGTTGGCTAGCGCTTATTTTTATGACTGCGCGCAAGGTGACTCACCAGCCCAGCACAATACCTATGCAGGCTCAACCTCGCCATTACCAAACACAATGCCTCGGCTTTTCTTCCTCGACTTTTACAGCGCTTCGAGGTGAAAAAAAATGGCGACGCGTTGCGAATTAACCTCCACTCAAGAGACACACTCGATGCCTCGTTGAAACGCAAGCTGTAAATAATCATTTAGCCGATAAATTTTATCTTACGAACGCGCCGTATTTTTTGTTTTTTCATTCCCGTACGCCACGCACCGGGAAATCTCTTTCTGTGAAGCCTACAACAATCCGAACCTAACCACTATTGTTCTTCTATTATCGACGATGGCCAGATCGCGAATACACAACTGTACCAATGACCAAGCAGCAATTTTTGCCGACTGACAAATGATCCCGAAGGCTCGATTACGTAGCTACTTTGAAAGCCAAACACGTCCCCCCGCATCGAAAGTGCAATGCACGCGCGCGAGCCAGAGTAGCCCACGAAAATTTTCACTAATACATTATGCGCCTTATGTTTCAGATGAAGGCGTCAGCGATGCCGAAAGAGCGCCGTGACCTTTTACGGCGTCACTTCCTGGCAGCAACGTCTCCGGTCTGAGCGCGAGCGCCACGAGGAGGACGTACGATGTATAGCAATAAAAGGCCAGAGCTGCCGGCGAGCCCAAGGGACTCCAGGAGGGACTCGAGAAATTCGCGAGCCGCTGCGACGATGTCCAAGTACGATCGGCTCAGCCCTCATCCCCGAAGAAGACTGACCAACGCGGCGAGAATCGAGCAACTCTATCACCATTTTCAAGCCCACTCGAGCAGCGACGAGTGTCTCACGAGGAATAAATCGAAAAGCACGAGCTCGATCGATACTCAGTCGGTCAACAATATTCTTGATGAATTTGAAGATTTGGACTATCGCAGATCGTCGGATCTCAGCGACATTGAGGTCGCTAATGCAGAGGTGACGAATTTCGAGGAGATGATGAATTTCCAAAAGCGACAAGCCTCCGAGAAGCAGAATTCGCGCATGTTTCGCTCGTTGAACAAAGTTCCGCCACGGGAGCAGCACAGCAGCGGCTTTGGGTCGCCAACGAAAATTAGCCGACAGACGCAAGTTCGACAGCGCTCACGAGATCGACTGCGCGATAATGCCAAACGACTACTATCGCCGCCGGACGAAACTCCGACGCGACACGAGCGAAAAAATTCAGCGCCCACTTTTCAGAGTTCCGAAGTTCGCGCGAGCGTTCGCTCGGCAAAGACGCAGCCTGAAATACTGCTGAGGAAGGGCGAAGTTCAGAAGAGAGTCGACGAGTGGCTGAGCCAGACGCGAAATCAAAATTGCGCTGGATTTACTACCAAGGAAAGTCGAGGATTGACTCGATCGAACAGCAGTGCCGAGCAAAAGAATTATCGACGACTGAGGCAGCAGGAGCTGCGATCGAGAAGGTACCAGTTGAATGTCTCGTCGAGCTACGACGACTTGACGCACGACGAACTCCGGACGGATCGCAACAGGGACAATAAAATTAGTGTTGGCGTGAATACTAACCGAGGAACTTACAAGCAGTACCTGGCGCTCAAGAGCAAGGCAAAGCTGCAGAAGCAGCAAGAGAACGGTAATCGGGAAGAGGGCAGAAACCGAATGGCTCTCCGATCGCGAGAAGCTAGTCCGGCAGCGAGGATGCAAGAGGACGCGCGCAACGACGCGATGAACTCGAGCTTTCGATCGTCGTCGTCGTCGAGACGAGACGAGCCGAGCGAGCACGAGCAGCGCCAAACAGCTCAGTGCTCGCAGCTCAACGAAACGGTGTCGGCGACGAGCGTGCGCGCTAGCAGAACGGCACGCGCCAGGCACCAGATGGAAAATCGCATTTCCAGCTTGGTCAAGGCCAGAAACGAAATGACCAGCGGCTCTCTGGAGAATCCGCCCGCGAGTATCGTAGCGGCACCAGCGTCGGCGGTCATCAGGCGCTCGTCGTTCAAGCGCGAAAGCGTTCGAAGCTCTTCGAAATCCAATGGACCCAGCGGCAAAGACGAGGAGGAACGTATCGCAGCTCGGTCCGGCCAGGAGCAAAAGATCAACGCGTCCGCGGATCAAAGTAGTGGAAACAAAACTGGGGAATCGAATCATCCCAGCGGCTCTGGCTCGGATCTGTCCCAAGAGGTTTACGGCTCGGTGAGCGCGCGCATCCGTGCGTTCCAGGACAAAAGCGACAGCCGCGTGCCCAAGTCGAGGAGCTTGCAGGGCTCCAACATTCTCATCGAGACGAGAAACCGATCTCCGATGTCGCCGAGCAGGACTGATTGTTTCCAGTACAAAGACTGCGATCGGATTCAGTCCACTTTCAAGCCTAATGTCGCCGCGCACAATCTACCGAACCAGGAACAGCAGCCCGCCAAGCGAGAGGTCGATGTGGCGACGAGGTACGTTGAAAAGATTTACGAGACCACCTTACAGCCCGAGGTCATTCATGCGGACAATTTGGAGGCGGTATTCAAACCGGGACGCACGAATTTCGTTTACGGCGAGAGAACTTCCAAAGATATGTCTCTCGCGACGACGAGTTTGCCAAAAGACGAGGGCAGCTCGAAGAAGAAAAATTTCAATGACAACGGCAACGACAACGACGGCAAGCAATCGGAGTCGAGATTCGACCATTGCTTGAAACTCCTGCAGCGCTCGCCGAGCTTCCGACTGAAGAGGTCGCACCCCGTGCAAAAGGATCGTGAGAATTACGCGAAGCTAACGCAATGCGAAAACCTCATGACGAATAGTGAGTTGAGGCCATCGAACAGCTTCAAAACCTTTCAAAGCAGTAACGCTGCCAGTGCACCACCACAACAAACCAACAGCGCATTAGACAATCGCGCCAGCGAAAACAAGGTAACGGCTCAGATAACCTCGCGTGAAAATCTCAACCGCGGCTCTTACGAAGCGAGGAGCACCTTGAAATTGAACGCTCTTAAGACGCTGAATGCTGACGTAATCGAAAACGAGAGGAATAATAGGCAGAATGGCATTCGATCGGCCGAGAGTACTCTAGTCAATCGTCACAACATCATCAACTCGAGTGATCTGTTAAAGAGTGGAAGCACATCGTCGTCGCTGCACAGTATGCCAGAGCACAAAGCCGAGAATGGTGCAGTGGTGAATGAAGTTCTGGTCAAAAATCTGCAATTCAAGCAGGACCTGCCGTCCTCGACGACGCCACCGCCTCCGCCACCACGCACCTGTCTTGAATCTTCAAGGAGACAAGAACCCGGCGCCCTGCTTGTCGAGCTGACACCTCTGCGCAATCGACCGCTCAATTACAACAGCGTGCTTAACGATGACTACGAGAAATTACACTCTCGCGATCATCAACGCGAGAATAGCAAAATTTACGTGACCAAAGAGGAGATGGCACGCAAGAAAATGATGGATTTGCTGAGGGACGGAGAGTTTGACTTGGTTAAAACGGTGAGTTTTCATTTATAATCATCATCATTACATACTATACTCGATGACATTTTTACAATTTATTTAAGTATTCATTGACAAATAAACACAATAGTTAGTCCTTTCTCGATCAAATTGATTTGTTCTTGAAACCGTGATTCCACACAATCGATTTTATAAATTAATGGCATTAAGACCAATACCGTTCTTGGACGCGCTCCACGAAGATTGTAAGCGTACCAGAGTAAGCGTTAAGAAAAAAAAAGAAACTTTAAGTGACACGTGAACTTTTAGCCGTGGCGCCGCAATTACTAAAGCGACGAGTTATACCGTTAATTAAGACACAGAAACGCACACGCGCGTACACGCACACACACACACACACACGCACACCGAGATGAGGTCGTTTCTCATTGAGTTTCAGCAGATACCCATCAAAACCGAGGCAACGTATAATTCCGTCTTTCTTATACGCGCGCTTCTCTCCCCCGCGCGCACGTGACTCAGCCCCATACATGTGCACTCAAAAATACACACATGCGAATGGATGATTCTGCGAGTGCAGTTGAGACGCCATGAAAAGACTAAATCTCGAGCAAATATTAGCTTTTTACTTGGCTTTCATCATCGCTCCGAGCTTGTTTGACGAACTCTTGCTCAAATAATTTGACGAAAATCACGACATAGTGAGTTTTAAATATCGATTTTCTAAGGCTTAAGAGATTGTCGAACCGGTTATCGCGGCTCCAGTAAATTCAAATCGCCAAGATGAATTCCAAATTGAAAAAGTTTAATTGGAAAGTATAAAGCAAAGTGGAAACTGCGAAACAAGGCACAGGTATTATCCTTGCGGGCAGGATTATAACTCGAGATAACTAAAGCATAATTGTTTCTTACTGTTTGCCTTTAATAATACGCGGAGCGAAAAGAATCCCGGCGATGAAAAAGAAAAAGAGCCAGAAGGCAGGGAAAATAAATGCGGTCTTTTTCGAGAATCATTGTTCGCGCAGCGCAAGTACAAAGACGTTGACAAGTAGCTTCAAGTCCCTCGGCGACGAGGACGGGTGTCTTGGAGCATGTACACGTTAGACGGCAATGACCTTAAAGCCTTGTGGCGCCCTCCTGCATGCGTACGTCGATAAGGCACAATGGGGCGAGCGAGGGCATGCAAGTTCAATTGTGAGCTCAACGAAGAGAGCAGAACAAGGGTGACGGGGGCGAAAAGATGCTGGTGCAGCTGCAGCTAGCAAGCGGGTGAGAGAGAGAGAGAGAGAGTAGGGGGAGGGGCGAAGGAGGGTGGAAAGAGGAGGATTTATGATTCGACCGTGCAGCCACGGCGGCTCTCCCAAGGCATTAGGTATGCCGCTCATGGTGCGCTTTAACACGCAAGAAAGACGTTATAAATTGTAGCCACCGACGTAATGGTGAGTTTCGCCGCTCTGGAGCGCGCAAGCAAAAGATAGAGAGCGAGCCAAGTCCGCCACGATTTTCGTCTTGACGACGATTTTTCAAACGTCCCTGCGAACATTCTCGGAGAACCTGCTGTTAAATAGAAATGCCATCAATTTGCTGGATCAAATAAACAAACCGATTCGCTTACTTTTTCCTCGTGCGCCGCAGCAGATTTTAATTTAGTACGCGTAAAAAGTATAACGCAACTTTAAACTGGCACTCAAGCCGAACATAAAAGACGGTTAATTGGAGCTGTTTCCCTGGTTAATTTGGTGAGCATCATTTTTGCATGTTTAGTACGAAATTACGGTGATAAAGTAGCAATTACAAAATCTCAGGTATACGTTAAAGAAAGCAATGAAAAAAATGCAACCACGATTGCTTACAGGAGTAAAAAGTTTTGAGCCGTGAGTAAAAGAACTCGTAAACTTGCAAGCTAGTTATTTTCAAGTGCCCAATATTGCGCGTTAGCGTAGTTCAAGGGAAAGCAGAGAGAGAGAAAGGCTATCTTATTGCTTTTAGAACGAATGCTCGCTGCAACGCGGGGTCACGCGAGCTTGAACTTATTTCGAAGAACGGCCAATAAAGTCAAATTTATTTAGAGTTTTACGAGTCGACGAGTGTCGCGCCCGTTCAGCACGATTCTTTTCGGTATGAAAAGAAGACAAAAAAGAAAGAACTAGGATTTACTCTTCGCGAGCGCGAGAAAAGTGGCTCTCAAGATCTTGCCGTTTCGCATTCAGCTTCGTAAAAATAATTAATTACCAGCTGCAAGCTCCGCTCATAAAGTCGCGTGAATTAATAAAAGGAGCTCTACGCTTGGCAGAAAAATGCATCACAAGCGACCTAATATTTCAATGCTGCAACTTTGCGAGCGAGCGAATGCTGATACTGAATTAAAAGCCAAATGCGCGCGCCGCTCGATGCAAACGGCAAATTTATGGCTCCGTAAACGAAAATGCAATATCGACTTTCTCTTTATTTTTAATTGTAGTATGAACACTGCTCAGTGTTTACTCGCGTAACTCGCCTCGTTACGCATGAACTTTCCGGTAGATTAATTAGCTTCAAATCTTCCAATTTCAGTGCGCGAATTATTCGCGCTAGATAACGTAAATATTTATCGGGTATGAATATAACTGTTCGCAAAGCAGTAAATAGGGCTCGAGCAATTGTTCAAAAGAACAAATTTTTTAAATTATTGTGAAAAGCATTCTCCTTCGTTTCTTTAGTGGACCACCGATGCATATATCTCACTTTAACACGGTCCAATAATAAAAAAAAAATAGAGAAGTAATGATAGTTGTCGTCCACAAAAATAAGCTGAAGATCAAGAGAGAGAGAGAGGGAGAGAGAGAGAGAGAGTAAAAGAAAAGCTATTGCTCTCTAAAAGAGCGAATGGAGGGACGGGGACGATGTAATACCCGCGCAGGAACATTGTCGTGTTGTTGTGCGCGCGGCGCTGTAATCAAGGAATGCGCCCTGCAATTTGAAATCCATTAAGCGTAGCGCTGTAAAGCTCGAGTGAGATGTGTGCGTAATACGTACGAGTTTTCGCTGGAGGCTGCCAAGTGCTCGGCACACTACTCAAGGTGCACGCATACGCAGGTGATACACACGCGCGTTGGCGCCGGATGACTGCAGCTACTTGAAGAGCTCATACTACGTGCAGCACTGCCTCGAGCCGCACTATAGTAGTTCCACACCAAATGAACGAACGACTCGCGAGCACGTACGCGCCCTCGAGTCGCGCGCCATATACTATTTTCTTTACGCCAGCAAAGTATACTGTCCGCCGGCCACAAGCTGAACTTCATTATGCTTCATTTCCGGACTTAGAGCTTACTATCCGGGAAAGCTCAGTGCAGTTTTGTCGGCGTCTCCCCTGAACCCAAAGACAAATTGAAAATGCGCGCAACCACGTATCTCTCGCGAGTTTGCCGTTGATTTGAGTGACAAGCGTACGAACACATGAACAATACGCGGACATTCTACCAAACAGTATCAATTTCTCGCAGCCTACACAGTGGCTCTATTCCACACTTGCCATTTGAAAACCCTGTGCCATGAATTTTCTTAATGCATCACCTCATTTTGCCATTCGCCTCTGTCGCCAATCATAATTAATCAACGAATCAACCAATCGGTACTCTGTTGACGCGCTGGAAATTGAAAAAAATGGAAAAATATATTTGTGCAAACTTGACTGGTGCTTTATCGATTGAGAATGTTTGCAAATATTTTTCATGGGTCATATACGTAAAGAGCCTAAACGGATTTGACTGGATGCTTCACAGTGAAAAACGGCCAAAGTAAATAAACTCGATTTCGTGAGCTGACACGTATTACTGTGTGTTGGCACGCAGTGCACGACTCTCGAGTACAATGAAGGTAAAAACAACAACAAAAAATAGGGCGAAACATCGGAAAAATCTTGATTTACGTATTATATGAAAAAGTGGAGTTGGCAAAGGTTTTGCCATCTTTTCAAAGATATTGATTAAAAGTTAGAAAGCTTGTGGATAAATGATTTACTGCCTGGTCGATCTCAAAAAACAATGTCACGCTTATATGTAAAGTTGATTCAGGTGCACGCTGTCGGACGGAGACAATGCATAAGGGCATCAGCCGGGATTTCAAGGTCGATAAATGTAGCGATATGTCGGTAGAGCAATATAGGCAGAGACATGACAAGCGCGCAGGTATAGAAAGAGAGAATGTCGAGCACGCGAGCCAATCCATGGTCGCATCGTCGAGGGTATTTCGATGGAGGACGACACACTCGCGCACTTCATCTGCACGTGACCTGCCATGTGTGTGCGCCACGACAGAGAAGAGGTAGAAGCGAGACTGCGACTATCGGGTACACGGGGAGGTGACCGAGCGAGAGAGACAGGCCAGGTTTGCTGCGGACGGCGAACGGTGTGTATAGAAAAATAAAGGGAAAAAGCGATCGCACGCACGCGGCACTATGGTAGACGAGTGCCTTGTTACGCACAAAGCTTAAGAGAGGCTCCGTGCGCTACGCGACAAATCTTTTGAAACTACGCGCTAAACGTTTATTGCAATTTTAAGCCTTTTCAATGCTAGCCTCGGACATCTTTATTGCAAATGTCCTTGTCTCAATGTTTTTTTTTTTTTTTTTTTGAGAAAGTGAATAAAAACTTGGTTGCAAGATTTTTTTCAATCTTTGATTTCTAAAGCTGTATAATTTCCCTAAAAACGGAAAACCAATTTAATGCTTGTAATTATACCCAGTTCATACTATATCGTTTCTTTTTACGAAAAGTTATTAGGAATCATCAATTATAAATTATGAATAATTCTTCTATAGCCCGGACTAACTTGAACAACGCGCGTGTGCAAAGCTTGATCAAGTCTCCCGTTTCCTTCGGAGTGGCGCTATCGTCAATGCTGTCATATTATTTTGAATTTTGTACTAGTTTGTATCTTATGAAATTCAGTTATATTTATTTGTGCAACATTACGTGAATCAAAATTTTCACTAATTGTATAGTAATCGAAATTATTTATTTTCTATATTCTTGCAGGCTCAGAATGATACACTT